TGTTATGATCCGTACCTAGTTTGATACGGACTTAAGCTAATCCGGCACTTGAACCAGCTTAGCTTTTCACGATATGTTATCCTCCGTATCTAGTCTGATACGGATTCACTAATCCGGCACTTTAACCAGCTTAGTAATTCACTTACGTAATCCGGCACATAAACCAGTTACGTAATTTATAGATATCTAGATATATATGTGAATATATATATAGATATTTATTTGTTTATTTTATTTTTATTATTGATTTTCAAATTCGGCACATAAACCGACTTTGCTCAAGGTTCTTTTAGGCACTTAAACCAAAAGAAAACACTTGGTTGTATTCAGGTTGTTAAATTGAATCAAATGTTTATTAAAAATGTTGTGCTTTTATACAAAATTCTTAACACTAAGCTTATGGTAAAGGAGGAAATGCACCCAGTTCCCACGATTTGTTATCCGATGGACTTTGAACATTCAAGGCCAAGGGCGTTCGTGGGAAATATGTGCATTACCTATGCTTATACTATTTAATGCAATCAGCAAGCTGATATATGTATTTTGCCATATATCAACCTGCTTCACAAATTTGGTGACTTAAATGTGTTATCACTGAAGCCATGCGCCAACTCATATTGCACCTGTGGGAACAACAGAATTGTCGCAGCGGCTTGCCTATTGCTGCAACTCACAACGAACACACGATAAAAGAAATTGAACATAATGCTTATCAACCTTGCACAGTGGCGTGTGAAGATGATCATGTTACGTCTGGCACGCTGCTAGCGTGCGAATATTTAGTTGTGAGAGCCAGCAACATTGCTAAATGTTTGATAACACAAATAAACACCAACAACAAAAACAACATAAGAACTAATTTAGGTACTTATGTACACATATAATTAATGCACTAATAAAAATACAATTATAATAATTGACAATAATAATACAATAATAAGAAAACAATTATAATGATTGATACAATGATAATAGATTTAATATGAAACTTAACAAGAGGTACCAAAAAATGAATTATATATAATATAACTAACTGTATATAAACTTATAATAACACTTATAATATATGTAATCATATTTTTTAAAAGAAAGTAATTAAAATATGTGAAGTGCATGTTACTTATGATAACATTAATGTAATATAGTGCAATTTACTTAAAAAGCGGAAGCATAATAAGATTAAATAATAACAATTAATGTAGAATTACGAGCTGCCACTTATCTGGGCTCTTAAATGGTTTGGCTTAAATGTTTCAAAAGATGATATAAAAATATTAATAAGAGAAAAAATGTTAATGATGGAAATGCTTGAGGTAACGGTGAAATTATTTCAATAATTACCGAGAGCTACAGACCGACTTTGTTAATATATTTTTCATTTAATGATGCAATTTTACTGTTTAACTTTTGTAAATGTTTTCTATTTTCTTTTGAAAATACTTTTTTTTTTATCTTTTATGGAATTAAATAATATTTTCCTAATGTTATAATAATTACAAACATATATATATTTATATATATATTACAAAAATTATACATTAAGACCGAAAAGCTTTCGGAAATTCTCATTTAAAATTCGCGCGCTGTATATTTTCCGATATTTTAAGTTTATGTAGTTTGGCAGCACTGTCCTTAATTACTATGCCAAAAATGAGCGCGATCTGTCAGACAGTTCGTTTACGGCAGCTGTTGAAACCAGTTCACCTCAGTAGGGCGTTGCGAAAAAAACAATGGAAAAAAATATTGAACAAAGAGTTTGCATCAAATTTTGTGTTTCGAACGAAATTTCGTGTGCAGAATCGTTGCGAATGCTACAAAAGGCTTATGGGGAATCAGTTTTATCGAAAACTCAAGTTTATGAGTGGTACAAAGCCTTCCAGGACGGTCGTACGACCGTCGAAGACATTTCGCAACGCACTACTGAGGTGAACTGGTTTCAACAGCTGCCGTAAACGAACTGTCTGACAGATCGAGCTCATTTTTGGCATAGTAATTAAGGACAGTGCTGCCAAACTACATAAACTTAAAATATCGAAAAATATACAGCGCGCGAATTTTAAATGAGAATTTCCGAAAACTTTTCAGTCTTAATGTACAACTCAAATATTTTTGCTATATTATAAATATTTCATATTGAGTCAGCTATTTTATAATTATTATAAGTGAATATTAGTTTATTTGCACAAAATATGATTCATTCAATATTTTTTAATTAAAAACATTTTTATCTAATCAATGGGATTTTTTATATAGATTCGTGAAATTCTCAATAAATAAATAAATGGTAACTTGTTTAATACTTTTCATTGAATATTTATATATGTAAACGGTCTACAAACTTCAATAAAGAAATAATTATTGCCTTTATTTTAACATTTTTATAAACAAATAAAAAAAAATTTTTAAAGTATGATTTTTGAATATTTACTTAACTAGTCAGTTAAAAGGTATAAGTTTACGCACGCCTAAAGAAATAAGAGTCATATTTAAATCTATTCTAATTTTTTTTTTGTTTAATCTATTTACGTAAATACATTTTTGAAAGTCACACTACATATATTAAATAATTTTTTTTTTTTGTTTTTTAATTTTTCAATGAGTTCAGTACATTTAATTTATTTTAAATTCTATAATAATTTTTTACTAATATCTTTTATAAAGTCACAGTATCTAAATTAATTTTTTGTTGTTTTTTTAATAAATGTGCATTAATTTATATTTTTTTGTTATAATAAATTTTAATATAATATTAATCAATCTTTAAATAAAATTAATACATAATTTCTTTTTCTTAAAATTCTTATTATAATCATACCGTTACAACTCACTGAAACCTCTACTTAGCTACCAGATCCGGCACTAACTACTCTGTCAGGTTAGAAAACGGTCTATATATACCAGTAGTTCCCAACTTTTTATTGACCAAGGACCACTACAATATTTTTGTTTTTAGTAGGGATCACAAAGTTTAAGAATAATAAACTGTATGATTATATTAATACGCTTTTTTATAAGGTATAAAATAGGTAAGTAATGGAAATTTTGGAAATCTTTTGTGTTTATTTTCTAATAAGTGAAATCTCAGTGGGTGAATTATAAGCCACATAATCATACTTGTTAAATTTGATTCACGAACCATTTTAAACCATTTCGTGGACCACCTGTTAGGAACCACTTACTTGTATGAAAAATAAAAACTGAGAACTCAAACAATTGCACGGTTAGAACAGATGACTGTCAATGATATTTCTACTATTTTTAATAGCTGCTATCACTGTAATATATTTACTGAAACGTATTTTTTATGGTATATATCAAACAAATTTCTATAGATATATATTAATTTATGACTATTGTAAATTAATAGCATAGAAAGGGATAAGATGAATATAAAATTACTATTTCACAACTCTCTATCAAGATATAAGAATATATATATATATAAGATATAGAAGATATATAAGGTTTTATATATTTGTAACTAAAGTACTTAGAAATTTTCCGATTTTTGAACTAACTTTAATAAAATATTTATTATTATTTAAAATCGAAGGACCAATTGCTTTTTTTAGTAATCTTTAAAATTAATTTTAGTGTTAACTCACAAATAAATAAATAAAATAAATAAATATTTATTATTATTCTTATTTGAACTCTATAAGTGACACCAATGAACCAAAAAAATTACTATTTCTACAAAGATTTTTACTCAAAAAAAACTTTTGCTTATGATAATTTTAAGTTTAAAAATGATAAGTTTAAAAATTAAATTTTATATATTTTGTTTAACTTTAAATTATAATAAATAAAGTGTAAAAAAATATTATTACTGATATTTTGTTATAAAAAAATTAAAAAAATACATCAATAAAACACTCGTTAGAAAGTATACTGAAAGAAAAAATTGATGAGATATACAAACGAAAATATCAGTTGTGAAATTGATGAACAACGTAATGAACGTTTGCAAATTGAGAGATATAAACAAGAACAGTGCAATAAACGCGTTAAAATTCAGAGAAATAGACACGTTGATATTAAAACAACGTGAAGCTATATCCGCAAGTGAAACAATCAGAATTTCGCAAATTTATTTTACCCCAGTTCAGAAAAAAAGTGATAAAATGTCTATAAATATAAAAGCTATAATAAAAGTAAATTGGTTGTTGTAAAATTTGTGATAGAAAAAATTAAAAATATTATTTACGCAATGGCTTCACTAGAACTAATAACAATAATTTTGTATTATTTGGTTTATAAAAATAGTAAATACCAGATATTTTGTTTACAATTTCTTTAAGTTGATGAATGATGTTTGTAATATTATTTGTATTATCAATATAAACCATTATATGGTACAAGTACACAAAAAATAAAGTAAAATTGAAAAACCAAAATGTCTGTCAAAGAAACCTCAATATCTTAAAATAGGTTAATTTAGAATTCACTACTTGTAAGTAGTTCTCTTCAAAGGGCGATTACAAAAACAAACCTATTACTTTAGTTTAATACGTTCCAAATGTAAAATGTAAAAATTTAGAAACCGATATGAAAATTTTGGGTGGCCTATAGAAGACCGAAAGAACAATATCTGTTTATTATTGTTCTTTCTCTTTAATTCGATG